TATTTCAACTGTAGGGCTAATACAATATGTCCCCTATATGAATATTATATATACCTATTGTTTAAATCAAATGCATGCTTTAAAAGTAGGGTAATCATAGCAGGTTTCATCCATAGTTTGTCCATTTAAACGTCTGCGTTTAGCTTCAAACGGCGTCTTTGACGACAGTATTCTATAAAAATGATTTGCATTCCAATTCTGATATCCAATGGAACAACAATAAATTTTTTCTCTTATTCCATGGATTTTAACCATTTCCCTCCACTTGTTACCAATGTTTTTCTGCGACTACAATAGGGCTGCACGATAAATCGACCTCTCATCCAGCCTGACACCGTTCTGCAAGAGGTCATCTGGGCTTGTCGCCATGGAAAAGATGGCATGTAAGGTAGTAACTGCAGTTTCTGCACAGTTCTCCACATCCAGTCTGTGCAGCAACTGCAAAACATCTCCCTGCAGCAAGCGAAGCCAAGCAGGTAGCAAATGGGTCTTGACGACCTCCTTCACTGAGTCTGAGGGAAATAGACATGATTTGTTTTATTGACTTTAACCATCCTGTCAGCAACATGGCTATTTCTTGGCAAGAACAGAGCAATAGAAGATACGCAATTTACAAAACTATATAAGATTCTAAGATGCATTCAGATGATTCCTTCCCAAAATATTTCTATTAAACATGTCTTGACTGATATGTTTCACAATAAAAGTGATTTGAAATGGAAGACACAATGGTGTCTTTAACGACCCAGTCATCAGCTTGTAAACAACTTGTTCGTGCAGAGACTTGGAGTACCTTGTTGTTATGAGATGCACATGAACTAATACATGTGTACAATTGGATTCTTTGACAGTTTGATCAACAAACACTGTACTTCCTTAACTGCAGAGTCACTGAGCCCTTCATGCAATAGACTGACTCTCTGAGCAATGCTCAGTGCTCGAATATGCACTTTCTCTGCCAGCACCTGACGCACATACATGAACACAAAAATAAACACACATTACATTTGAACTTATAGTGTACACTACCATTCAAAAAAGAAACTCGTACAGGATTGAACAGCATAAGGGAGTAAATGACAGGATTTTAATTTTTAGGTAAACTATCCTTTTAACTTTAACAACAGGTAAGCCAGGTTTTTTTTTTTTTTTGGACAATTTCACCTGATAAGCAAGTTTCCTGACTTTCTCTTTAACATCCCGGGTACGCTTGTAGATTTTAGGAAGTGAAGTGCGATGAAGGGAAGGGAGGGATGCAAGACAGCACAGCCCGTCAAACCTCAGGGTTTGAGTCATTTTCCAAAAGCAGAACATAAGCTAAAAACACAAAATTAATCACTTTTATAATTTTTACCTTTAATATTTCTTGAAGATTCATGGATCAATAATGAACGTGTTTACATGTTTACGTATGGATTGTAGCTCAATGCCCTTTAGCATGGTTTCAAGTAAGAGCATTTTAATAGTTTAACAGTACCTTTAATAGTGGGGCAGTCCGAGTTACTGGGGTCCTGGAGTCTGGCCATGGCCAGTGCTGCCTGAATCCTGACATTAGGGTATTTGTCTGTGGCTCTGATCAGCATGGCTTTATGGATTCTATCACACAGATCATTATCAATCTGAGCATTCTCACTTAGACTGCCCAGCAACTTATTCACCAGCTGACAAACACGAAACCGCCCCGCATGGATGTTCTCACCATGAGACTGAGGGAGAAAAAAAAGATGATAATGATAAGAAATCTTACGTAAACAAGTAACGCTACGATGAGATATGCTCTTCAGTATGCTTTTTCTCAGGCTAAATGCCTGTATGTGTGACACTACCTCTAACAGGAAGTTCAACAGGAAGTTCAAAAACTCATTCTTGTCTTCCTCCTCCTCCTCCTCCTCTTCAGCATCCTCATTAACAGGAGTTTCGAAACTAGCAGCAAACTTTGTGACAAAATCAATGACATTCTCCACTGCTGGCTCCCGGGTGTAAATGATCATGGCATACTTCAGGCAGCGGATGAACTCCTCGTGGAATTCGGTCTTATCTTCCAACTAGTGTTGTCAAAATATTAAAATAGATCTCGATTTCATGTTTTTCAATGTATTAGACAGCAATTTGGGGGAAAAAAAGCCTATACACCTACAGTAAAAATGTATACTGTGAAACATTATTACAACTTAAAATGTTTTTTTTTAATGTTATTTATTCTTAGGAATTGCTGACCTAGCCACAGTAGTCGTTCAATTTAACCGGTTCTTCTTAGTGAACCGGTTGAACCAGTTCGCCAAATCGGACTGAATCGTTTGAAACGGTTCGCGTCTCCAGGTAGCATTAATCCACAAATTACTTAAGTTATTTACTTTTTTAACGTGGCTGACACTCCCTCCGAGTCGAAATAAACCAATATCCCGGAGTAATTAATTTACTCAAACAGTACACTTACTGAACTGCTGTGAAGAGAGAACTGAAGATGAACACGAGCATGTGTGCAGCGAGCCGGATAACGAACATACAAGCCCACTGCTGGAGCGGTTCTCGT